TTTCCGGGGCTGGTAGATCTTGATAACATATAGAACATATTTTCTCTTTACCGTTCTTCAAATAAGTCCAAAATAACCGGGTTATTTTATTTTGAAAATTTTCAACAAAATTTTCGAACAATTCTTAAAAAAAATGAAACAATAAATAATAAATAGTCAACTAAATTAGAGGTGGCAAAATAAAACAGTAATTCACCACAATACATAAAACTCTCACTTTTAATCATCTGCTGATGATGCCAACATGGTTAGCGAAACGCGCGTCCAGTGTAAAAGTAAAGTGTTTTGGTGTATTGTGGAATTACTTAGTGTTTTATTTTGCAGTTGTAACACCAAAGGTTCCAATCCAAAGGCCGCGTCACTTTCTCGACCGTTCCAGAGAAATATCCCAATTTTGTGAGGGTCCCGTCCAAGATCCGAGGGGCCCCTTCGCTGTTCGAGTGGCCCCCTTTATACTAAAGACGGCACTGCTCATCGATTACACAGCTAGAATACAAGTTATGCCGTGCATTGGTTGTAATTTAAAATGTTTATTCAGTAAAAATAAATAATCAAACCATTGAAATATAATTTAATAGCTAAAATAAATAAATTCAGTTTCAAGTTTATATTCTTAAAAATTAATAAATAAATTATAAAAAAATAATTATTCGATAATCTAAACAAAAAAAAACCTTAATTTAATTACCAAAAGAGAAAACTGCCAATGACAGTTGAATAAAAAAATGCTTTTTAAGATCTGGAGGCCCCCTAAAAGCAGAGGCCCAGGGCGGACCGCCCCTTCCGCCCCCCCTTTGGAATTTTAGAATTTAGAATGAGTGGGAGGGGGGTTAATCACTTCGACCTTACAGATCCATTGTGTCCCCCTTTCTTGAATCATAACTCATCATACAGTCCCAGGGCTTTGACAAAAGCCAGTATCTGGGACGGTTTTATAGAGGGTAGTTCTCCATCTCCAATATCAGTCGTACCAAAATTCATGGCACGAATGGTTGTCGTCTCGGCGCACTCAGTGATGAGGTGTACTGGTGTTTCACCATCTTCCCCACAGAATCTGCATTCGCCGTTTCTTCTTAGTTTCAATCTACTGAGGTGTTCATTGATGAGACAGTGTCCTGTTAAAACCCCGTGACAATCCGAAGATTGTTCTTACTCAGACCTAGGAAGATCTGTGATTTTTATTGATCATAAGCCCTCAGAAACTTCTTCGAGTGTCCTAGACCATTGCAAGATTTCCATTCCAGGTTGCGGATGGAATCTTCCAAGTTCTTGAGTTCCTCCTTGAGTTGGTTACCACTTGGAAAGCAGAACGGTTCTGGTCCAGTTAGTGGAGTGTTCGCTCCTTTTCTACCTAGATTATTTGCTTTTTCATTGCCTTTTATCCCTTGGTGAGCAGGCACCCAGTGTAGGAGGACTTTGTTTTCTTTGCCTAATTTATTCAGCTTCTCTATGTATTCTTTGACCAATTTCGAATTGATTGAGACTGAGTTGATCGCCTTTAACGCTGCTTGACTATCAGATAAGATGGCTATTTCTTGTTTCCGATAGTTCCTATCTAAGATAAGTTGTACGCATCTCTCGATAGCGTAGATTTCTGCCTGTAGGATACTAGGGTAAGTGCCCATTGGTTCGGAGTAATTAGCTCTCGGCCCAAACACTCCGATCCCTGTTCCCGTAATGGTTTTGGAAGCATCAGTATACCAAGTTATGGTATGGTCTTTTAACTGCTGGGCAAGCGTTTCGCTCTTCCAATCCTTCTTATTGCTCAATACTACATTGACATGTTTGTCAAAGTTGTACGTTCTTGGCATATCGTCCACTGGGAGTTGCAGGAGTGCCCCCCCCCCCTCTTAGTCCGCCACTGACTTCAACTAAAAAAACGGGACACCCTATACATATATTCGCAATATTACTTCTAGTAAATTGATATAACATAATTGATAAAAGCTACTTTTTTCTAAATTTCATTACTGTCTCTTTAGCAAGGATTCAAAATTTAATTATTTTTTATAGTAATAAAAATATATAAAACAAAACTAAATTAGAATTGAACCATAAAATTAAGAAAAAATCTTGGTGGTTTAAGACCGATATCATTATTCATAGCGTCATAATTGTGTTAGAAAATAAAGAAAGTATAATTTGGAAATAACTGTTTTTTTGTCATAAATATTTATTCAATAACTACAATTTACCTTCTAAAAGCTTATTACAGATACAGTATTATTCTAAAAGTTTAGATAAGATTTTATAACAGATTCAACTGCAGCAGGATAAAAATGAGGCCATTTGAATAACTCCAATATACATTTAAAGTAAAAACCCAATTTATATTTGAAGAAAGTGTAGCAAAGGGATAAATTCCATACTGTAACGATTTGCAAGGTAAGGCCGGTATTAAATAAAGATGGCGATGTACTGCTAGTGCGGGTGTGTCATTAATTATTCATGACTTGACAGCCTTTTTGATCTCACAGCAGTCCGGTTCAGTTGCATACACAAACTAGGCACACAGTAGAAATTTTTAAAATTGTGTGGCTAGTATTACCCTGCGCTTTTCAAAACATTTTTTGTCTATGTCTACAGAGAGGTAGGTTACAAAACTCTTTACTTTGAATCCTTTATTTTTAAAAATAGGTAACGCTTTTTTTAAATATTATTTCAAATTAATTGTTATTCTTTTATAGGCATGATTAATCTGCAAGACGTATACTTTGTGTGAATTCCAAACTGCTACTTCACGATCGAAAAAATTTTACTGATATTATATATTCATATTTTTGGAAATATTTTAAGGCGCTTTCATTTTAATAAGATTTTGCAGTTATAATAACTATTTAATTTTTAGGAAATTACTGCAAAATTACCTGTAAACTGGAAAATCGACATTGTCCAATATCCGATATTATTGGAAACTAATTCGTTTCTTATAAATACGTCTATTTTTAATTAAATTTCGATTATTTTGTTTTGCAAATCCCGACTCGATAAAATGGCCGACATACAGTCGTCCAAATTCAACATGAAATCATGGCGTCGACTAACAAAACATTTTTGTTGCTCAGGGAGCAGTTATACAATTAACTTGTTTTACAATGATGCTATACGGAACATATTTGTTTTATTACTTAAAATAATGTCGGCAAAATACAATTAAATTCGTCTACATATTCCGGTGCTGTCACATTTACAACAATAAAATAATAGAGACGTGTGTTAAATTCGCTAGTAGGTTCATTAATACTTAAAACATAAAAAAACATTTAAAAAAATTAAAATTTTCATCGATTTTTTCTACGGCAAATAATTAGAAAAAAATACATAACTAAACACAAATTTGACTTTTAATTATACTTGCAGACTTTATTTTTATTCTGGCAACATTGGATGACTTTCTTTCCTTCACCTTTTAGATACGAACGCCACAGAATAATAACGTAGAAATGGGCCTCACTACTATGTAGTCGAACCGGGTTTATATAGCAATATTGTTGCACTTCACGTGTCTATTTCTTCTATTTCAAAACCTGATTATTTTTTATTCATTTTGCTTATGTTCTTTATTTTTTGTTAGCTACCTTAGACACAAATATGTTTAATATCAAAAATAAAATCTTCCAGTTAGAAATATTTGACATTTTAAGTTTTAGAGATAATATCACAATTTTAAAATATATTTTAAACTCTGACCAAAACCAAAGTTTGAGGTAGAGTGCTATAGTATGTTTATAAGGTTTCTTAAATAACATTTTTGTATTTGGGGAAACACTTTTGTTTTTTAATTGGTTTATAAGAATTTTAATTCGTTATCAGCAATTATTAAATTGTTTTCTTAGAGTAGCGGTCGCGACTAAATTATTGCGAAGACCAAATTGTTTTATAAAGCAGTCGTAAAAACAGCTATAAAACATGTCGATAATGTTTTAATAAACTAAAATGCATATTTTTATAGCTGTTTTGTAAATATTTTATAATTGTTTTAAATTATATTATAAATCAATTATAAAATATATCTAGCTCAAGCATAAATAGTTGTATAAGATTTGTTATATAAACGTTCCTGAGCATATTAACGGATATATTTATAAAAATGTTTTATAAATTAGTCGCCAAAACATCTATATAACAAAATAATAAAACACATTTGTCTCTATGATAAATTTGTGTTCTTTGCGTTTATTATATATCAGTTCAGTGTATGAGATCGCTTTAATAAATCGTATATAAAACACTTCACTCTCATAATAATTTATTGAGCTACTTGGGTAGGTATATCTAAAATATACTTCCGGTTTCACCGGAAATGACTACAACTTTTGATTTTTAAATGACACCCTCGGTATATTTTTATTTTTTTTTTCGATAGAAAATGATACTCTGAATAGAACGAAATATCATATGTCAACTTTTGACATTTTCGCATATGGTTTATTTGAAATTGTACTACAATTTGACTCGAAATACCAAGCATGTGGTTATTGTAAATTATTGGTAAAAAAATGCCTTTTCCAAATATATTAGTAAGTCACCCTTGTTGCATTTGGAAAAATTGACATCTTTTACCCGGCTAGACAATAGACAGTCAAAGCTATCTTTCCAAGGACCAAAAACAATTGAATGCGTCAATCAATCCGAAATTATGTCATATACTTTCATACCAAAACTCGTTTTTTATCCGAAAAAATAAAAAAAAAATAGGGGTGAGCTACTTTTGAGACGCACCCGGTATATCAGTGTATTCAGCCGGCTCCACTATCGCTGTATTAAATATACAAAATTAAAACATTAACATAAAATAAAAATTGTGCATTATACAGTTTTACGACGGGTCAATTGAAATCAAGTATTTTTTATCAAAAGAAACAGCGACCCGAAGAAAATTATTTCAATTCTCATTCGGATTTTGCAAGAAGCGAAAGGCTTGCGCACTGAACCAGCCCCAGCTTCGCAAAGGGTCCTCGGCCATCAGAACATTCTTCGAATTATTATTTTCGCTCGGTGTCTGCACAGATGCGCACGTGTGCGCCACTGTTGCCGCGTCATCGTCAGTCCGAAAAACGTTTCGAGTAATTCGGTGCGCCCCTCGCTAATCAAGCAGATTCGGTGGGAAATTGGCACGTGTTCGAGTGTTTGCCCGACGGTTTGAGAGTGATATGAGATAATTATTATGGTTGTAAATTACGCGAAGTTTTACGTTGCGGGTTTGTTGATAATGATTGCAGGTTAGTCAAGCATTATGAATTATAATTCTATATTATCTTTTATGCTTTAGAAACCTTTTAGTTTTAGCTTAAGATATTAATTTCGCATGAATAAATTCACTTAATGCTTATAAAATTAAATTAGTATTTTATTGGACTGATTATTGTATTCATCGTCAGGGTTATAATGATTTAATAAAATGAAAATGAACTTTAATAGTTTAGTAGTTTTGGTGTTGACTTTCAATGTCCTAAAAATTGTAACACAATACTACAAATTAATAATAAATAAATAATGATTTATTTATTGTAAAAAGTAATATTACAATATTATACAATTGGTAGGGGATTTTGACGCATTCTCGCTCCACCATGAAATAAAAGTTATAGGTAATAGTTTTTAGGTAAATAGTTTATCTTGGATAGGAACTATCGAAAACAGGAAATTGCCATCCTATCCGATAGTCAAGCAGCACTTAACGCGATCAACTCAGTAACCATCAATTCGAAGTTGGTCAAAGAATGCCTAGAGAAGCTCAACAAATTAGGCAAAGAAAATAAAGTCCTCCTACTCTGGGTGCCTGCTCACCAAGGGATAGAAGGCAATGAAAAAGCAAATGATCTAGCTAGGAAAGGAGCGAACACTCCACTGACTGGACCAGAACCGTTCTGTTTTCCAAACGGGAACCAACTGAAAGCGGAACTGAAGAATCTGGAAGACTCCGTCCGTAACTTGGAATGGGTGTCCTCCAACGGTCTAAGACACTCGAAAAAGTTCCTTAGAACTTATGACCGAGAAAAATCAAAGGTTTTCCTTGATTTAAGTAAAAACAATCTTCGGATTGTCACGGGGTTTCTAACAGGACACTGTCTCCTCAACGAACACCTCAGTAGGCTGAAACTGAGAAACAACGGCGAATGCAGATTTTGTGGGGAAAATGGGGAAACACCAGAACACCTTATCACTGAGTGCGCCAAGACGACGACCATTCGTGCCATGAACCTTGGCACGTCTGATGTCGAGGATGGAGAGCTGGCCTCTGTGGAGCCGTTTCAGATACTGGCTTTTCTTAAAGCCCTGAGACTGTATGATGAGTTATAACTCGTTATAACTCAAGAAAGGGGAACACACAATAGATCTATAAGGTCGCGGTGATTAACTCCCCTTCTAAACATTCTACATTCTACATAGGTAATAGTTCTGTACTAACATTTTTTAAACAATTATACACTAAACCTAAAACTAACTTACAAAAAAAGAGCGTAAAAAATTCAAAAGGAAGGAAAACAATACTTAAAATATGCAAACATTTTTTTACAAAAATAATAAAGAGAAACAAACGATTTTTTACCTCAAATTTAAATCTTATTTAAAACGGTGAATCTCAAGGTGAATCTAGTATATCGGGTATGTGGTTTAGAATAAAAGCGCTTTATAAGAAAAACAGTTTTTCATTTTTTTACAATTTTCACTTATAATATCACAAGAGCTTAAATTATTTTCGGAAATTTTTTTGAGGGCACGAATATTTTGAAAATTATCCCGAGTCGAAGACGAGGGATAATTTTCCTAAAGTATTCGTGCCCGAAAGAAAATTTCCAGGAATAATTTAAGCTTGCGTGGTATTCGGTAAGAAAATTTCACACCTAAATTTGAAAAAAAATATTAATCCAACATGACATTTTAAAATAATTTCAATTTGTTAAGTTGGCCAAGGTATTGATGTTTTTGACATATTATGTGTTTTGTCATTTTTGTTTGTTATTCTGTCATTAAGCTATTACTAGTTTTAAAACGTCTGTACGTAGAGTAAGAAGTGTATAGCGAAATGTCGCGATTTGGAAAAGTAAACCAACAAGTCATTAAAGAAGAAATTGAAAATATAAAACCAGATAACACCCGAAAATCAAAATCAAGTGTATATCCATCATATTTCGTTAAATAGAAAAATACCAGCTTTAGTTAAATAAAGGCGGCAGAACTATATTTTTTAGAACATGGCAATTTCGAAGAAATTCATATGTAGGTATATCTAACATATTTCCTTAAATAAAAAATATTTCCAACCTTAGTTACATCAAATGCTAAAACTCAAATGGGTAATATTTCAATATATAGACATTGTAGTTCATTCACATTATGATTGTAGATCTTATGTTTACCTTTTCAACTGTCAAAAAATTTCCACTAAAGTTTCGTGGCGCCTCGAAAAAATTTCCGGAAATTTTTTCAGTTGCCATGGTAACTAGTCAACATTAAAGCATGTTATTGGTTGAAAAGTAGAGGTGTGAAATTTTCATTTAAATTTTAAACTGGAATGTCGCGGTATTATAAAAGTACTAGCGTGTACCCGCGACTTCGTTCTCGTCGAATTAATCATTTGTAATGGTGATGATAAAGTAAAGCAAGAATTTCCATTAATATACAAACTGGATAAAATTTTCTCACATTTATGTCAGCATGAGAAAAAACAATATGGCGATATTATTATATAACTTGGTAATATTTGAGGGGTAGTTTCATCTCGTTGGAATTTGACTTTCGAAAAATCCATTTGCCAAAAATAAGCTTTTTACGAAAAGCAGTTTAAGCAGAATCGTGGTTAAGAAATTACCCAACTTTTTGGAACACCCTGTTGATTTTTTAAAAAAATTCAAAATATGTAAAAAAACCAAATAAATTATGCTTGTCCAAGCGTTTTCCCGAAAGACTAACCGTTTTAAATAACAAATATTGTAATATTTGAGGGGCGTTTTCACCCTCTTGGAATTTGAGATTCGAGAAACCCCTCCTTATCGAACCTCCACACCCCACAGTCAATCCGTTTGCCAAAAATCAGCTTTAAACGTCAAGCAGTTTAAGCAGAATCGTGATTACTCAATGGTCATATTTTATGAAACACCCTGTATCCCTAATATGGAATGCCGCCATTTCACGGAAACAAATACGCCTAATTGCAAATGACAGAGATTTTTTAATCTCTTTCGTTAAATACTAATATGTTACTTCATAAATTATTTGGAAAAAATCGAAATGAAAATGAAACTTCTACACCCTGTATCTCCAAAACTAAGTATTTTAGGACATACATTTATATGAACTTTTTTAATAATTTTTATCTGCAGAATATGCTGCCGAAGTTTTCGGAACACAGTTCGGACAATCCTGTATACTAATTGATATTATGTAATAACGATAAAGCGATGAATTTTTACACACAAAGCCGTAAACCTTGCTGGACTGTTTTCAATATGCCACCCTGTATACTTACTGCCATAAAAGCTTAATAATTTAATCAAAATATAATGATGTACTAGGTATCTGATAAAAACTCTAAATAAAATACAATTGTGGAAATATTTACTCCAGAATTAGACAATTAATTTTATAGCTTTGTTTTGTTAGTGGCAAACGACTGTAGGAAAAGAAATAAAGAGCCAACATTATGAACTTCCATAATTAACTCATAATTTAATATTTTATGATACACCGTATTATAATGCCCTACTTTAACGGCTAGAGAGAAATTGCGAATTTTCTAGTTGTATTTGATTATAACGCTGAAATCGCATTAATATTAAATTGCTATGGCTACAACTAAATCAGATTGGTTCAAATGTTATTAGCTACTAATTTAATACACAATTAATAAAGATTATTAAACATTTTAACAGTACCTATTTTAATAATTAGTATTAACGTTGTTTTATCTTATTCAGAGTATTACAAAGTTATAATTAAAGTATGTTGTAATTCCTTTTCAGGTTAAATAACAATTTATGTTTTATAAAATTTTATTATAAAAAATTGTTGAGCCTATTAAGCTTTTATTTTTATTATAATTGTACATGCTTTATTAGTTTCGTTTTTATTACTGTTAAATTAATTTTCTTGGGATATTAGGTTGCGAAAACGCTGAATTATGTTTTTATTTTGTTTAAAAATCTTCATTTAGTCTATGGACAAACGTTTGACCAACTAAACAGCCTTCATCAGTGTTATATTTTTACACACAACAAAGTATAACATTCATTCATTATTTACAAAAATGTATGTTAAAAAGTTAAATAAATGTTTTAAAATAATTCCAACACAAAAATATAACGTGGCTTGATACAGTTTGTTTATACTTATATTTTTTTTATATTGTTACATGCTGTTGAAATGTAGTTTTTATAATACTGTACGCAATATTCATAACTATCGATCTCTAATAAGAATGTCGTTCTCTAATAAGATATTACATATTACGTCAAAACTCTATTTTAATTTTAAAATAAAGTAAAAAATAGTTTTTAATTTTGTTAAGCTCATTATTTTCTTATTTCAAAAATGCAATGTCACAAGGAGATGTATGTATAGGAAATTTTGAATTCTAACCACATTATTTCAATAGACGCAAACCCTCGGAAAAATAAACTTTGGATAGAGATTGGCTTGTACTGACAAGAGCAGCCCCTTAAAATCGTATAAAAACAATTTATTACACTCAAAACAGACATTTTATGTGTTCATTATTGGAGGTTTGAGTAGAGATGTAATAATGTATGCAAGTACCAAAGCCCATAAGGTGTAATTGTAGAATATTGTTCTCACTATTTCTGATTAGACTCTAGAGTTATTTATTATATGAATACTGAAATAGGTAAATTAATCATAATACCACAGCTAGTACCGTATGATCGAAAAAAAATGGCGTCCAGTTGGCTGGGAAATGAAGATTGCTGTCATTTTAAATGTAAATTTATATGGGAAATGTCATCGATCGTCATTTCCCAGCCAACTGGACGCCGTTTTTTCTCGATCATACGGTATTTCGGCACTTTATAATACAGGATATTTTGTTTACACCTTTTCTGAAATTTTGACCCTTTTTCCAGCAATTTTTACTTCTTAATTTTATTTTCTCATATGAATAATTATAAATATAGGTCAATTAGGAAGTGGCAATATTGCATCCCTTTTAGCACTATAACCCTGGTAATATTAGATATTAAGAAATTATACCGTGTAACAGTCA